TTTTTTTTGTTAATTAGGACAATTGTGTTAATATTTATATATTGTGCTTATGTATGTTTTTTACATAAAAATAAAATAAAAACCTCTTAAATTGGGTACACAAGGTAAGGTTCTTAAATTTGAAAACATCTAATATATTGTTATGCAACTAATGTAATTAATTGGAATCAATGTTAAATATTCAAATCTTTGTGTTATTACATAGTTAATTTTGTGATGTATAAAAAAAAAACTAATGTAATTAATATTTTTTTATGGAAATTAAGGTAATTAATATATCCCTTTCTTGTTTCATTTTCTTTGTTCCCGCGTTTTGGGGTGCAAAGAATAACTTAATAACCAATGATATTAATTAAATGAAAACAAGCAATTCATTTCTGTCCTTACTGCATTAAAATATACCAGGAGATATTACATATAATTACTCAGGACATAACCAAACAAGATGTTGAGGGTTTGTTAATATGTGACCTGGAGAAATTTAAATGTACACGTAATGGTTAATAAAATTTCCCAACTACACAACAAGAATTTGATAATGGAAAAGGAAATCTTGAATGCCCCCACCATTAAATCACCCACTAAATCAACTTAATTCAAATCTTTTAGTATCGATATGAATGATTAATTTTTGACGTAATTTATCACAAAATTGTCTGATAGCAAAATGTGCACATAATTTGCAGTAAATTTTGAAAATTTAGTTTGAATTGACAAAAACACAAGAATTTCAAATCAAATTGTATGATTTGAAAGACCATTGAAACTTTGGTTATAGTCTATCTTTTGAAGATGAACAATGAGACCTAAAATTAGAGGAGTGAGAGAAAAACAAACAAGAGAGAAAGGAATTGGCTAATAGTATGTTTGGTTTGATAAGAGTGGAGGGAATGGAAGGGGTTAAAATTTTCTATTTGATTAGCAAAGAAGTTGGATAAGAGGGGAGTCCTTTATTTTTCCAAAGGAGAGGAGGGGAGGGGAGGGGAGGGAGTGGAAGGGGTGAAATTTTTTTTATTTAATTAACAAAGAATTTGAATAAGAGGGAAGTCCTTTATTTTTGGAAATAAGAGAAGAGGAGGGGAGGGGAGGGGAAAAAAAAAGAAATGAAAGGATGTTGTATTCTTATTTTCCTCGAACCAAATACGTTATAAAGACTTCACATTTTTAGATTGCATTATTGTACTTCAATACTCCATTTGTTCAATAATTGTAGTCTTATTCTAATTTTTAAAGCAAAAAATTTAAATGAAAATTTAATAAAATAAATGAATTAAAGCTAATTAAATTTTTATATTAGTTTTATCTAATAAAGAAAAACTTTAAAAAGATTAAAAAATAAACTCTCAATTTTTGCTTATATGTTATGTTGAATTTTTACCTAAACGTTCTGTCTTAAAAATAAAAAGGCAAGAAATACTGTTGTTGCATGGAGAGAGTATCACTCACTTGACTTTGTCTAGAAAATCACATGACATGTTTTGCCGACAGCAAATCAATCCTAAACATGAAAAAGACCTCGCCAATAGTTAACTTCAGTCTAGAATTAGATTGTATAACTGCATAACCACGTAATAAATAATCAACAACTTGTT